GTCAAGGAATCCAGAAGCACAATCAGCAGGTATTTAGTAAACATAAAAAACGAGCAATCGAGCATAATATGCAGCAGATTTGCGACGGACGAAAACGAGCAAAAATACAGTTAAAGATCCACCAGAAATGTTCTACATAATATTTGCTTCCTGTGTACGCGGGATTGATTTAGCATTTGATTACAGAACTAAAATTGAACCTTCTATGAACCTTCCTTCCACAAAAATTTAGCCTAAATTACATTTTTTTCAAGGTTTCCTCTCGTGGTGTTCATTGCACTTGATAATCAGCTATGAGATGAATCACAGTGATGATCAACAATGTGAGACCTTCGCATCAGATAGCACGACTATAAACGTCGTTCGTTTTGGCATGATCTACAACAATACCAAACTATCCCTGTTGTTTATTCAGTCAACAGTTTGCTACCAATTTCTAGATTGGTTGCGGCAGCGACTCTGGGTAAATTCTGCGTTAAGGCAAAATTTGTTCCTCATCCAATTTTGAACGCGGCACCTTTGGAGTTCTATGTTTCCTAGAGTTTGCCAAAGTGCCACTGCGATGCTTATTTCTTCGTATTTGTTTGTTTACAGTGAGTTGTACCTTGTCAGACCATTGACGAGCGGATTACTGTCCGAGTTTGATGGTCAAGTTCATGGTTTCCTTGACGATATCGTACATAACCACGTTTGCAATCGGTTCAGCCTCTGAGAAACCGGAGTTCTCACGGACCGTCCGACTCTATTTTACTTTGGTACTGACAAAACTGAATAAAACACTGGCTCTCCATATTCTATATGGTACAGTATGTGCAATTTGCAAGGTGCTCGCGTTTTGACATCGATGCCGAATCATTTCAGTCCGCATAAAAAGGGACGACGCGTTTCCAATAACCTCAACATCATTTTCGATACACAGCTAGATGATGCCTTTCCAAGAACTTCCTGTAAACTATTGATTTTCTGCCTTTTTGTTCATCTTAATCCAGGGAAGTTCCTCGGCTCCATTCTACCATTCTAAGATCCGTTTACTCTCCTTTAGAACTCGGTATAAGTGTTTGTCTGATCCAGCAGTGGCCTGCCCTTCTTGCAACTCGCCGTGCCATTGCCACCCTATCTTTATCACCCAGACAACGACATCGCAGACGTTTGCTTGTGGTCTTACCGATTTATCTGTTTTCTTACACTTTCTTGTCACTCCCTCATACATCTTTCCATACTGCGTTGCATATCTGCAGTGTATGAATGCCCTTCAGGCTGAGAACATATATTTTGTATCCATAGACTAGAATACCATTAGAAAACAGACTTATTCGAAACAATCTGATTCAAGCATGTTTCAGAAAAATCTTCAGCCACACAAAATGGCTGCGCACATTTTTAATTCTTCTCTTGATTTTAAATGGTCGGTTCTCCGTTGCAGAGGTGAGTTGTTCAAGATAGACGTGTTTTTACATGTGTCCAGGCCAAAGTTCGTTTAGTTC